TGCCGGGAACAAACGTGAAATCTTGAGATAGTGTGCTCTTGTAACCTGGACACTTTGTATTCTGGACCAGTTTGCTTCCTGCTGATCTCTCCTTGCAGTCTGCAGTGTGCAGTTCGCAGTTCACAGGCAAGCTGGGAGTTAAAAGGATTATACGTTTGCTTGTTATCTGTCTTGCTTTAAGAACAGTGTAAACTTCCCTGGCTGTTTTGTTTGAACTCGTGCCAGCATATGTGGGGGCTGTTGGGTGAACATTGGCAGTGATTAAAAAGACTATTGCTCTGGCCAGCTGATTGCTTTGCCTCTGTTCGGGGCCCTGGGTCATCACATTTTGTTCCCGGCCCACTCCCAATTGCTCCTCCAGACCAAGTTGGACGACCATGGATCAGCTCCGTGTGGAAAATGATCAGTTAAAACAGCAGGTGGCCCTCCTGACTGCACAGACGGCGCAGATGCAAGCAGCTCAGCCACGCCGCAGAAGCCCTGTTACAGTGCCAGAAAAGTTTGATGGCTCACAGGCATGATTCCCATTGTTCTTTGGGCAGTGCCAGTTGTGTATGAGCCTTCGGCCTGAGGACTTCCCCACTGACCGGGATAAGGTGGGGTTTGTGATAAGCCTGTTGACAGGAACAGCAGCACGTTGGGCAACACCCCTGCTGACCCAGCCCAATCAGCTGCTGGACAATTATGCAGAGTTTTGCCGGCAACTCGAGGCCATGTTTGAGGACCTGGTTAGGGCCCAGACTGCAAACCGTCAGGTGAGAGAGTTGCGGCAGGGGCGTGGTTCACTGACAGACTACATTGCTACGTTTCAGTTGGTTTGTCAGGAACTGCAGTGGAACGAGGCAGTGCTTATGGACCAGTTTCAGGAAGGACTTTCATCCAAACTCCTGGATGAACTGGCACGCACCGAATGCCCTCGCTCCTTGTAGGAGCTCATGCACCTGTGTCTCCGTATCGATGCAAGACTGCAGCAGCGACGGGTGCGAGGACGGACGGAGGCCTTGCCCGCACCTGTTAAGACAGTGGCACCGTTGGCACTGCCTCCGGATGAGCCAATGTAATTGGGGGCTGCACGACCCCGACTGACCCAAGCTGAAAAAGATCGCCGCCACCACAAAGGCCTTTGCCTGTATTGTGGCGGTCCAGGCCATATGGCGGCCAAGTGTCTTGTGAAGGCACCCAAACCGGTGGCGGGAAACGGGCCAGGCCCGGCCTAGAGGGCTCCGTAGGCCGGGCTCGCTTGGAAACGGGTCTCATACCTCCACCTCAGCAGACTCTTGTTAAGCACCTTGTGTTACCAGCAACTGTGTTCGTGCCTGGTCAAGGAGTGGTGGCGGTCCAGGCCTTGGTGGACTTAGGGGCTACTGCCAATTTCATGGACTCAGCTTTTGCCATGCAGTGGTCCATTCCCCAGCAGCAGCAGTCACCGCCAGTCTTGGTGGAGACGATTGATGGGCGG